CAGGGTATCAGTACCAAAGTGACATAGATCATCCTACCAAACTTCAGAATCAGTGTAAAGAAAGATCTGAAATATTTTCAATATGATTCACCCAAATAATTAATCAGAACATTTGCACCCAGGGAAATTATGTTGAAAATATGTTGCTGAATTTTGATGGTTCAGCATTCTATGCTATAGAGCATTTGATGGAGAAATAATTCAGTGGCTGGTATATAGTTTTAGGTTAAATGTGCTGAAAAACTGACTTAATAAAAAATAGATCCATCTTCTGTTTTGTTTATGCAGACGAAGATGTATCGCACAATGATAACAGAAAATTGTGAAGTGATTCTCACTGACAAGCTTATAGAGGTCATGTGAAGTGAATATAAGCAGAACCACATCACTTTTAGAGAGTTTTATCTGTTTCTATGATGTGAAGTGGTTATGCCAAGTAGGCTGCCAGTGTTTGAGCCTCTTCTAAGACTGTGATGTCTCTTAAGGCTAAAACTATTGACTCCAATCTCTGACAATGCAGATGTTGCCATGGGTTATGATGCAGCTGCTCTGATTTTCAGTAACAAAGTAGTGATAGTCAGGCCGTGTTAACATGGCTGTACCAATGGTGCATGAAAAGAATTTATATATATATATATGACATTTTGGCCAGGAATAGCACACCTGTTTTAACTGTTCATAGTGTAACTACTTGAATCAAAATTAACTGTATCATGTTGTAAGACAAAAGCGACAGCAGGTTTCATTCCAATTGACTGTCATGTGAATACGGGAGGTACGATGACAGACCATGAATTTTGCTGCTACTGCTTCATTAAACTAGAAGATCCCACACTGGATTTCACCCCACCAATCTGGGAGTGCACAGCAGTCTGCTTGTGTCTAAAGAGGTGATGATTAGGCCATTATCAACAGTACTAGAGATAGTTTGGTATGTGTTTATAAGAATACATGGATACGAGGTTGAATTTATATATTAGGTAACACTGTGCAAATTTATACAACTTACTTCTGGCTAATGGAGATAAAAAAAAAGCGTTTTAACCTGTCTAATTAAAACTAACAATGTTTCTCACAGAAGGACATTGTTAGTTTTAATTTTGGCTTAAGCATCAGAATCGTAAATATGTATCTACTACATAATTTATTTGATAGTGAGATGACCGGTGGAACAGTTGATAGTGGGATGACCGGTGGAACAATTGATAGTGAGATGACCAGTGGAACAATTGATAGTGAGATGACCGGTGGAACAATTGATAGTGGGATGACTGGTGGAACAATTGATAGTGAGATGACCAGTGGAACAATTGATAGTGAGATGACTGGTGGAACAATTGATAGTGAGATGACCAGTGGAACAATTGATAGTGAGATGACTGGTGGAACAATTGATATTGGAATGACCAGTGGAACAATTGATAGTGAGATGACCGGTGGAACAATAGACTTACACATCTGAGATAAAATCACGCCATGTCAACCTTTCAAGATCCACAAACAGTGGTTGTATTTGCACATGTAGAGAGGAGGATGTCAGAAGTTCTTCTAATGCGCAAATGTTTCTTCATAGCATTCCATAATCTAATTCATTGTTACAGAATAATATGGTGATAGAAATAATACGCAAAACACGATTTACCCTGAAACCAAGACGTACTTTTACAGTCCAAGAGCAGGATTTATTCCTTTTATAAGTTATAGTTATGGACAGATGCCTATTCAGCTATCACCTGAGACCATTAGTGGAACTATAAGCGAAGCACAAGTCACTGAGAGTACCTATACAGATGCATCACATCCACGTGCAAACTTATGATTACCAGGACATTTGAAGTTTTTTGTCAAAGGTTATGCAGTCAATATCAATGTAGTTCAGCAAACTAAACTCAATGTGTAGCTAGTAGCTTTGCCAATATGTTTGTAGGACCAGATGACCACCTGCACGAAACACACAAACATAGGTTATCTCATCCAAAAAAGCAACAGTTGTACAGGTTGTCTCGGAGCATCATGAACAGTTCCAGCATTCCTATTGAGTAGATGCTAAAGGACATAGAATAATCCTGTATACTATAATATGTTAACAGCTACTGATCACTGTTATTGCACGACAAAAAATAACTGTTTACATTCATGGTATATTTTAAGCATTGCTGTCATTGTTTGCATGCTAAGAGATTCTCTGTTAGAAGGGTTCATGCATTATGTAGTGGCGAATGAGTTTCAATAGTACAAAAGGTATGTTTGCACATTAAACCACTGCATTGGTTGAGTGGAATTACATTGTATAACATTGCTCTTGGCACTAACATGGTAATGCAGATGGATTATGTCACCAAAAATGAGATATTGCCTGCTTGGGGAATGTCAGATCCGAGCCATCATATGACAGTCAGAGCTTTAGTTTCTACATTAATGTCAAACCATACAAGACTACTCATTGTAATGGATAATACAAATGACAAATGACAAACTTTGAGAAAAAGTAATTTCAAATCATACAAGACTACTCATTATAATGGATAATACAAGTGACAAATCACCAGCTTTGAGAAAAAGTAATGTCAAACCATACAGGTCTACTCATTGTAAATTATCCATTACAATGAGTAGTCGTGTATGGTTTGACATTACTTTTTCTCAAAGCTTGTCATTTGTATTATCCAGCAAATGACAAATCACAAGCTCTGAGAAAAAGCAAATGAATGACTAAGATTGAAATTGTGTACAATTGAAGTTGATGTACAAAAATGTGATGTACAACTTTTTCACCATGCATACATATAACCTCTAGTACTTGTACAAATAGTTGATTTACAGAAACGTGTAGTCTGACCTGCACTATAGCTAGTCATTTCAATATATCTGAAACTGAAAATGTTTCAGGCTTTGCTTAATGTAAGGACTTAAAAGCACCACAGTATTTGGCACCCAAGAGCCAACATGCAGAAGTGTTGTTTTTTTTCTTTCTGGCTTCATTCCTAACCAGGTGTTGGAAAGTAGTGTAATAAGTTACTCTGTATACTGATCACAGGAAAAGTTAACCATACCATGGTTTTTCACTGCAGGGACATAGCTAGTTTTTATTGAATGTTCATAATAGAAATTTGTATGTGCTGATCGTTATTGAGTTTTTTACCATGTGGACCAAAACGTACCAGTCACTGACAATTGCACGTAGTCTACCAGTAACAGGCTTGTTGAACAGTAGATAAAACAACTTAGAGCACATGGAAAAATATCAATAGATCAAAACATCTTCTGTTTGTTACGTTGTGTAAAACATAAGTGTTATGTGATCCTCAATTTGGTGGTTTGAATCGGCTGTGTAATCTGTCAAGCATATCCTTACAAAGTTTGTGAGTCTTTCACAACATGTGTTTTAACGGCATATCTGGAAACAGATTATCAGTCTACTGGCTGCTTCCAAAAGTTATGAATGTTTATGTGTGAGGTTTAGCTCCACTTAGATATGGTGTGTGTACTGCTCTTCCACTCATGTAGATGTGCCAACAGGGCCCACAAGAACATATGAAATAGTTGAGAAATCTGCATTAACTGGTACACATAAACTTCAATTTTAACATTTGAGTAAAGCAGTCATGCATGAATAGAGAAGGTAAAATAAGACACGAAAGAAACGCCAGGTTAAGCAAAAATATTGGGTTTTGGCGCAATATACTCCTGCAGTGCATCAGCAATTTGGTTGTTGTTGGAATGTTCCTTATCTCATGATTCAACACCTTAATATTTTGAAATGCGGCTTAAGCATTCACATGGGGTGTATAGCTGAAATGAAATATTATGTCATGGATGAATCTCTGTTAGACTGGCACATTCAAGAATCAGAAATAGAAGGATGTGACGAACTGGAAAGTGGTAAGAGTATAGTCTCTGATTACCTAAACCTTGCAGAAAGCAGCAGTAGTACTCATATGGCAATCTGTGATGAGCCAAGTCTAAAAAGAACCAGCATTTGAGCATTTCACATGCTCAGAAGATCTGCAGCAATGTGGACTGACATTAACCACAAATTAAGTGGCTACATTAACCACAAATTAATGTGGTTGGACCTAAAATAATAATCAGCTGTTACTATAGTCTTATGGCTTCAGGTTTCACCCATTAGGGTTACAATATAATTTGAAAACTAAGGGATCATAGCTTCCTCTTAATTCCAGGTTATAGTAGGGAGTTTTGTGGCGAATTTGTGAAACAGGTAATCAACGATCCACCATGTTATAATGGATAATTTCATAGAGTGTGACTGTGAGCTTTAAAAACCAAAATAGCTAAGTAATACCTTATGTTAATAATTGTTCCAGATTGAGAAAACATGGAATTGTATACAGGAAACAATGATGCTATTCTTTTCCAGAACGCATGCAACAGCGATATCACTACGTCATTTGCATAAAAAATAAGGGAGGTTATTAGCTCAAGGCCTCACCTGACCTGCCAGTGGCAAATGTTTATGTCCACTTCTGCATAGTATGATAAACTTTAGAAGAAATCTTTTCCACGACAAGGTGCATGACCCACCGTAGTTGAATGACCCAGAACAGTAGATAACTAGGACAAAAGGAACTTAGCTGTTTCCTTGACCAACATATATGTTAAACCTCCATATACTTACTTTTTTATGAGAGCTTATGATTCACTTTACTAAATAAAGGTGGAAGAAAACTCATAGAATACCTCCATACAACAAAAGTTTACATGGAAGAGCATGCCATCGAGTATATATAGCATCTGCACGTTTTCTAAGTGGATTATGAGAGGGTCAGAAGGCTGTGGCTTCTAAAAATTCCAAACATACTTCAGTTGCCTGATTTAAGGACATTCCCCCACCTCCTCCCACCTCCCAGTGAATCAGGAGCTCTACTGTATGCAATCAAACACTGGCAAAAAATTCTTTGTAACTCGAACTGACAAGTAGCCAATTAGAGAAAGTTGCTTCATTGCAAATAACAACTCAGCCTGAATGATGGTAATCTGATTGTACTTACCATAAAATCATGAATGTATTTGTACATTCACAGGTTCTAAGGCATATATAGCAGTTAGTATAGAATATGTGCATGTACTACTACATTATATGGGTTTTGCATTCTGTTCATGATATGTTATAGCTGTTACTAACCAGCAGGTCTTCTGATCTGTCACAATCTGAGCTTTGGCATAAGAAGGCAAGTTTTGGTCAGTCACCATGATCACTTTGCTCTTTGAATTTTGAGATATCTTTATCAATCTAATTAAAAGGAAGAACGGATTTTCCCAAGCTGATGATTTTGAATTAGTTGACTTGTTGCCGCCCTTCAGTTTATCATTTCTGGCAGCACATGTTAAGAGAGAGGTGCAGCTGATGAAAGCAGACAACATTGTCCATGTCTTATGACCACTCCACTCTAGTCCCAGTAGAAGTCCACTGGTACTCCAAACATGGTACTAGTAATCAAGACATCGAGTGAAGTGCCATTGACAGCTATAACGCTAAGAAAGGGGAAACAGGGAGATTGAATGGCTTCCTAGTGTGTGTGTGGTGAGAAATTTAAGTATGATAGTAAAGTTTGTATACACAAACACACACACACACACCTTTGACAGGTTTACATCTTAAAACCACAACCACACACGGCCAAATAACGACTTCTTCACCCTTAGCAACCACTTCAAACAGCAGGTCACCACTTTCTCCAGCTAACAGTTGCTTAAAACCATTGCCATCCATCCCACTTACCTTTATTCTACTGCAACTGGTAGCAAAGGACTTTGCAATAATTGTTTTGTTTTTTACACAGTGGGCTATCTGTACTCTGCCAACTACGGGTATCGAAACACTATTTTTAGCATTGCAAGTCTGCAGACTTACTGCTGAGCTACTGGGGGGATGGTTGGCAATATAAAGACACTGATGTTAGAAAAGGCTTATAAAAAGCTAGGTATTGGTCCAAAAGACAGATGACAGGATATTTACAATGTCTGTAAATTTTCTTTTTGTTAAAGGTATATGTCTCACATACTGGTTTTTATGGTGTTGCTTGGATTTTAGGATACAATTCTGCTGTTTTTGAGGATGGAATATTATTAAATATAATTGAATATAATAACAATAAGAAAGTTATTGTTGTTTGTTTATTTTAGTACAAAGCCATATTAGGCTATCTGCTGTATCCACTGCAGGGAATCGAATTTCGGATTTAAGTCCTTAAACTTACCGCTGACCCACCGGGAGACATATAAAAAGTACATAGAAATAACGGAAAGTACTTTATTAAAGGAAGAAGAAGATTTTTGTACGAAATATTCCAACATTTTCTAAACCAATAATTCCACTAATAAACACATTTTGTTCTATATGAGTTTATTACTAAAGCCAAAATATTGGTATGTCAAGACCACTGACATTTTGTTTTTGTGTAAGACTCAATTGATTAATAATATTGTTTCGATCAGAAATGCATTACAGCTGATAATATGGAATGTTTATACTGACGAACTAATGAATCTTTTTAGGTTTTAGAAGAGTAGGCATTTGACACCATTGCATTTGTTCTTCATTAACAGAATTTCAAATGTATTATCAACTGCTTTGTGTCCAACCCCTATGTTGAGTTTTGGTATTAACAAAAGGACTCCTGGGTTATGACTTTTGGCAGACAAAATACTGGTCTGAAATAATGTTTGTAAATACCCCTTGATTTATAATATATTAGTTAATAATAAAGTGAGAACCTGTTTGGTTGTTTGGTGTTAAGCACAAAGCTACACAATGGGCTATCTGTGCTGTGTCCACCACGGCTATCGAAACCCGGTTTTTAGCGTCGTAAATCTATATAATTATTGCTGAACTACTGGGGACTTAAAGTGAGAAAAAAAGACATCTGAGCTAGAAGTAACGAAAGCTGGTATTTTTATTACAAACATCAGATTATAAATCACTAAAACCTTTGAAATTAATTATATTGTTGCTTCTTTCATTAATGAATATCTTATGTTTGTTTATTGGCATTAAGTAAGCTAAATTGGCCATGTTAGATGAAGTTAGTTATATATTTCTTAGCTGAAACCACTTACGAAACAAGCGTTTAAAGTTAGAGGCTGGATATATGAGGTTTCAAGGTAGCCACATTAGAATGAAGCACTATTGTGGTAAACATTTTGAATTTAGAACGGTATAAATAGTCCGTGTCTTCTAACCTAATTCCATAATTAACTTTTGTAATGTAAACATTTATAAATAACTAGAGCAAATTGAATTCTCAGTTTTGTTTTATTCCACGCTTTTTCTAAAATATGCTGTTTTGATGTGAAGAACAATGTAGTATTTCATGTGTATAAACTGAGTGACCACTTTATTAGGATACCCTAAACACACTTGTATCATACTACATACATTTCTAGTGACCACTTTATTAGGATACCCTACACACACTTGTATCATACTACATACATTTTTAGTGACCACTTTATTAGGATCCCCTAAACACACTTGTATCATAATACATACATTTTTAGTGACCACTTTATTAGGATATCCTAAACACACTTGTATCATAATACATACATTTTTAGTGACCACTTTATTAGGATACCCTAAACACACTTGTATCATACTACATACATTTTTAGATGAAAATAGATTTTGTTTGTAGTTAAGCGCAAAGCTACACAATGGGCTATCTGTGCTCTGCCCACCACGGGTATCGAAACCCGGATTCTAACGTTGTAAGTCCACAGACATACCGCTGTGCTACTGGGGGACGTCGAAAAGGTGAAAAATAACTTTTGTATAATGCAAAATCTAGCAAGATATCATATTTGTTTGAAGAAATCCCATATAATATATGAAAATTAATCTGTTTCAGTAGCTGGTGAGTTAGACATATTCAACTGATGATAGATAGCTAATTAAATAGATGGGTGAACTGATAGACAGATAATCATTGTATTGAACCAAATAGTAAAGTTTTCATATCGAAGAAAAATAGAATATAAAAGACATCCAGAATCTACTTAGCAAATTGGCAAGACTCGTGTACTCAAACGCTCCCAATTCGAATACGTGCAAATCCAGTTTTTTTATTGAATCTTATCAGATTTAACTACTAGTGTAAGGTTTATATGATTTTTGATAGAGCCCATCTTAGTTTAGTTGGTTTGTATGAACAACTGCTGTATATAAGAAAAGGTAATTCGATCATTAATACAATCATACAGCCTAGTTCCCATTTGTCATATCCACACCTCGCGGCAATGCGAGAGCTCTCAAAGTTCGAAACAATATCCAGTGGGATGTAGACTACTTCCGGGTGTGCTATTAGAACACTTCCACCCTCGTGGAAGTGTCTGCTTCAATGGATTGTTCTCGGAACATAACAAGCACTTTTTATCGATCCATGTGATAATATTACAGCAAATACAGAGTACTCATTTTGTGTATATTTAACCATGATGACTAGGCATGATCGCGGACCTAACTAAATATCACGATAATTTTTCTTGTAAGATCACAACAAATGTAGGTAGATTAGAAACCATTTGATTCATAAAGAAAGGCCTTTCTTCAATAAGCGCTGGTAATCTTCCTTTATTAAAATCATTTATCAGCCTTACTGTGAATGATCTAATAAGCTATAACATTGTATCCTTACAATTCTCAAATATTGTAAAAACCTGTCCAATGCTCAACATTCTCAAGTCAATTAAAGTTAGAAATTATTTTAAGTGTCTTTAATTGCGGCAGTTGTTTATAGGGTCAAAAGCCTTAAAGCGGGATTAAATGTAATCAAATCCTTTCACAAAGCATCAAGAAAAACGTTGTTTGGTGCAATGAAAAAATGAATCACAACCGTCAAGATAATTTTTTTAGGGCTAGAACATATGGTTTTCATCCTCATATTGTTACTGAATATTATGAATATTATTATTATGGCGATAAAAATTCAAATCTATGTCAATTTGTATTTGAATTTTGATCTGTCTACGGGAAAAAAATAAAAAGCCCGGGTGTAGCTTAATGGTTTTGCGTCGGGTGCGGTCGAAGATCCAAGATTTTAAGACGTGATGCCAATGAATACACTCCACACTTTGAGCTGTTGGCGCGTTATCAAAGTAACAGTCAATCCCGTTATTGGGCTCAAAGCAGTTGTATCACTAGATGGTTGCCCTTCTGTGGTCTGTATTTAAAACTTAGAGATGGCTAGGCCTGAATTTTAACCCACGGCCACATAAGGTGCTATTCAGTTTGAAAATTCTAGTTCAGAAAAACAAAACAAGATTAAAGAAATTGCTTATTCTTCACAAATGTAGTTAAACAAGGGGCACTTAACCATTGATAAATTTAGAAAGGTAATTGATAAACTAACTAGCAAAAAGGAATAGCAAATCATTAACAAAAATTTGTCGGAAATGTAACTTTTGTCTGTTTTATTGGATTTCGTGCAAAGCTACGCGTGGTCTACCTGTAATAGTCGTTCCTAAACTTGAAATTATATATTAGAGGGAAGACACCATCTACCGCCAACTCTTGGGCTACTCTCGTCAGACCGAATAGTGGGACTTCACTGTCACTCTTTTAACACACCCACGGCCCCACAGTGCATATTTCTTGGCGGTAATAGGACGCGAACCACTGAACTCTATTGTCTATCACTTTACAATTAGTTTGTTTGTTTGTTTTGGAATTTCGCGCAAAGCTACACGAGGGCTATCTGCGCTAGCCGTCCCTAATTTAGCAGTGTAAGACTAGAGGGAAGGCA